AAGGTGGCAGATGCAACCTTGCTGGGCAAATTGCCAAGTTGATTCAGATATACGCCGTTTCTTTATTCGGAAAGACTGAAAAGGCAGTACCTTATGGCAAGTTTAGTGTGATGACTAAGTACGAATATAAAAGTACTTTTATAGAGGTTACTTTCATATAATGAGCACTCAATAAATGATAATTGCAAATAGGATAAAAAGGTAATAGCATCCATTAAATGTGTGACTATATAGACATATTGGCCTTAATTTGCCATACAAGTTTTGAGAAATATCTAGCCTGGATTCCCCTTGCTATTTCTTAACGGAAAATTCCGAGTTCAATACAAGTTAAGCTTAATAGACAGTATAAGGGACCATCTAAGAAAAAAAAAAAACATAAAACAAACAAAAAAACAATTAAAAGTAAATGGAGCTTTTTTTTCTTTTTTGAGAACTTAAAAGTAGAAATGTGAAGCTTATGATTTTATAAAAAAAAAACACTATTTGATTTGTTTAAATTGACATTTTATTAGGTGTTTTTCCCCCAATTCTAAACATTTTTACATCTGATACATCACATCTGCATCTTGTTTGCTATACTATTGAAAATGCGAATTTTCAAGTTTACTGATTTGTATTGTTATTTAATATTGCCACAAACCCAGAACTGAACCCAGAATATGCCTTTAAAGAGAATAACTAAACTTTTTTTAAGTATGATAGTGAGGCCCATTTTTTGCCATATCACACCTTTAAAACCTCCTACCTGAATATCCACAAAGAGAATGTGTGTGTGTGTGTGTGTGTGTGAGAGAGAGAGAGAGAGAGAGAGAGAGAGAGAGAGAGAGAGAGAGAGAGAGAGAGAGAGAGAGAGAGACTGAAAAAATAGATGTGTAGTGAGAGGGGTACAATGGCCCTGGCTTGGCTGATCCATAACAGTCATTGGCTGTTACATACATTTCAAGATCCATTCAGGCTCTGGAGATAATCGAGCCGGCCGACAGTTTCCCCCCCGCAGCCCAATGGATTTATGATAGCACTGTCAAGAAAATGAGCCAGAATGACACAGTAGCTGACTTTAGCTGCAAATAATGTGATAGGCCGTACAGTGGCTGTGCAGCAGCTGCTGTCATCGCAGGTAATAGGCTATAAAGAAGCCTGATAGCAATACCTGTCATTGCTTAATGGCTGACTTCACTGAAGAGCTTTTGTGGCCTTTAACATGGAGATAATAGAAGATACAACAAATTTTATAGCTTCCCGCCTTGCATTCATAATTTATCGGAAGCGGGATACCACACAACAAGGACAACAGTTCGGAAATGGGATGAGATGGAAAGTTTGATGGGTTGGCTGGGACAGACGTGAACTGCTGAGCGGAGGACGAGACAGCTCTTCTCCACAGCTTGCTTTAAGGAAGTTAATTGAGAGATGAGGAGATCGATGCTTATAAATACAGCATTGTATGTGTAAATGTCAGTTAATGCTTTTAACTAAGTTTTATTGCTATAGTTACGAGCAAATACATACTGTAGTGTAGATATCTGATACATTTGATCTGAAAAAAAAAGTTTGTTGAGGTGATGTACACTTTTTATCTCCAAGAATGTTTTTCATGAAAAATCAGGCCTTTATTTTATTTTATTATGTTAATGAAGAAGATGCAACTACGTGGTTGTTTATTAGTGTTAGTGTATTTGATACACAGTTATGAGTCTTTTGATTCCAGCAGTGTACAGTATACCTGGCTATGTAGAGGTGAATTGCACATCTGTCATTTGAAATAACTCAGCCTATACACCAAGTGAGTGGATAGCCCTCCTCTTTATCGCTCACCACACTGCAGTTGTCCTGTCCACCACACTGTGAGTAGAGAGTGACCAACAAGGTTATTTTAAGGACAGTATATCATTTCTGAGACACCCAGTGAGCAGCATTATCAACAGTATGTCCATCAACCATAAAACACAATGCAATGCATAATTCAAAATACAGGTAACACACCTGAGTAAAGTTAATACAGGAAATTCCTTTATATTTGCATGATACTTCCCAGATAGCAAAAGACTCCGGGGCGGATCCGCCCTCAAGCCGCTAGGTCCGCGGTTCTTTCAGACTCTATTAGGTCATGCGCACTGAATATGCCCCGCCTCCTGACAGCGGACTGTCAAGCCGGGGGCTCGCTACAGACGCTAGGCGGACCCGCTGACCGAACGCGCCTATTTTCAACTGTCACCCATCACTGAGTCCCGCACTGTGCGGCAGGTCGAGTCGCCAAACGGAACACGGTAAGAATAGTTCAAATATGCTTTATTCATGTAACTTTACCGTTCATACTGTAAGTTAACGTTACGTGTACAACATGATTTTATTTCTGAAATGATTGTGTAAAACCATAACTTTAGCAAATGCGGGTTGTCATTACATTAGCGGGGATTTGAATAAACATGTTTTTTTTTTTTTGTAATTAATAACTGGGTAAAAAGCTTTTTTTGGATATTTATGAGGTGATTTAATGTGATTTAACGTATGCTGTCCAAATCCGGAGCACATTATTTTCTCCCCTTTCTAATGTCAGGCGAGAAATCATGTTAGGCCTAGTTAACCTACGTAAGTTAGCACTAATAGCTGCTACCTTTTATTACGGAATGTCTAGTATAAAGTTAATGTCGAGTTTCATTTTTACAGTTCCACTACCCCATGTAATATACATAATTCATACTGTACGTGTGTGTGTGTGTGTGTGTGTGTGTGTGTGTGTGTGTGTGTGTGTGTGTGTGTTCTGTTTCAGCTTACAGTTCGTTTAAGTGCTGTCAGTCTAATCTGTTTCATCTCCGAATATCTGAGTAAAGTAAGATTTTATAACGTTACTATTTTCTAACTTGATTTAGCCACATATTTTGTCAAATACTGACACTGGTCCCCACTACAGCTTTTAACACTGTACTGGTTGGTTAGTTGGAGTTCATTTTGGTTTACATCACGACAAATATATTTTAACCACCTCCCCATGTAATGTTGTTTCAGATAATTATTTCATATTGTATTAAGAGACTGTATGTGTGTGTGTGTGTGTGTGTGTGTGTGTGTGTGTGTGTGTGTTCTGTTTCAGCTTACAGTTCGTTTAAGTGCTGTCAGTCTAATCTGTTTCATCTCCGAATATCTGAGTAAAGTAAGATTTTATAACGTTACTATTTTCTAACTTGATTTAGCCACATATTTTGTCAAATACTGACACTGGTCCCCACTACAGCTTTTAACACTGTACTGGTTTGGTTAGTTGGAGTTCATTTTGGTTTACATCACGACAAATATATTTTAACCACCTCCCCATGTAATGTTGTTTCAGATAATTATTTCATATTGTATTAAGAGACTGTATGTGTGTGTGTGTGTATGTGTGTTCTGTTTCACCTTACAGTTCGTTCAAGTGCTGCCAGCATAATCTCCGGTTTTATCTCCGAATATCTGAGTAAAGTAAGATTTAATACGTTTCTAACTTGATTTAGCCACATATTTTGTCAAATACTGACACTGGTCCCCACTACAGCTTTTAACACTGTACTGGTTTGGTTAGTTGGAGTTCATTTTGGTTTACATCACAACAAATATATTTTAACCACCTCCCCATGTAATGTTGTTTCAGATAATTATTTCATATTGTATTAAGAGACTGTATGTGTGTGTGTGTGTGTGTGTGTGTGTTCTGTTTCACCTTACAGTTCGTTCAAGTGCTGCCAGCATAATCTCCGGTTTTATCTCCGAATATCTGAGTAAAGTAAGATTTAATACGTTTCTAACTTGATTTAGCCACATATTTGTCAAATACTGACACTGGTCCCCACTACAGCTTTTAACACTGTACTGGTTTGGTTAGTTGGAGTTCATTTTGGTTTACATCACGACAAATATATTTTAACCACCTCCCCATGTAATGTTGTTTCAGATAATTATTTCATATTGTATTAAGAGACTGTATGTGTGTGTGTGTGTGTGTTGTGTATGTGTGTTCTGTTTCACCTTACAGTTCGTTCAAGTGCTGCCAGCATAATCTCCGGTTTTATCTCCGAATATCTGAGTAAAGTAAGATTTAATACGTTTCTAACTTGATTTAGCCACATATTTTGTCAAATACTGACACTGGTCCCCACTACAGCTTTTAACACTGTACTGGTTTGGTTAGTTGGAGTTCATTTTGGTTTACATCACAACAAATATATTTTAACCACCTCCCCATGTAATGTTGTTTCAGATAATTATTTCATATTGTATTAAGAGACTGTATGTGTGTGTGTGTGTGTGTGTGTGTTCTGTTTCACCTTACAGTTCGTTCAAGTGCTGCCAGCATAATCTCCGGTTTTATCTCCGAATATCTGAGTAAAGTAAGATTTAATACGTTTCTAACTTGATTTAGCCACATATTTTGTCAAATACTGACACTGGTCCCCACTACAGCTTTTAACACTGTACTGGTTTGGTTAGTTGGAGTTCATTTTGGTTTACATCACGACAAATATATTTTAACCACCTCCCCATGTAATGTTGTTTCAGATAATTATTTCATATTGTATTAAGAGACTGTATGTGTGTGTGTGTGTGTGTGTGTATGTGTGTTCTGTTTCACCTTACAGTTCGTTCAAGTGCTGCCAGCATAATCTCCGGTTTTATCTCCGAATATCTGAGTAAAGTAAGATTTAATACGTTTCTAACTTGATTTAGCCACATATTTTGTCAAATACTGACACTGGTCCCCACTACAGCTTTTAACACTGTACTGGTTTGGTTAGTTGGAGTTCATTTTGGTTTACATCACAACAAATATATTTTAACCACCTCCCCATGTAATGTTGTTTCAGATAATTATTTCATATTGTATTAAGAGACTGTATGTGTGTGTGTGTGTGTGTGTGTGTTCTGTTTCACCTTACAGTTCGTTCAAGTGCTGCCAGCATAATCTCCGGTTTTATCTCCGAATATCTGAGTAAAGTAAGATTTAATACGTTTCTAACTTGATTTAGCCACATATTTTGTCAAATACTGACACTGGTCCCCACTACAGCTTTTAACACTGTACTGGTTTGGTTAGTTGGAGTTCATTTTGGTTTACATCACGACAAATATATTTTAACCACCTCCCCATGTAATGTTGTTTCAGATAATTATTTCATATTGTATTAAGAGACTGTATGTGTGTGTGTGTGTGTGTGTGTGTGTGTGTTCTGTTTCAGCTTACAGTTCGTTTAAGTGCTGTCAGTCTAATCTGTTTCATCTCCGAATATCTGAGTAAAGTAAGATTTTATAACGTTACTATTTTCTAACTTGATTTAGCCACATATTTTGTCAAATACTGACACTGGTCCCCACTACAGCTTTTAACACTGTACTGGTTTGGTTAGTTGGAGTTCATTTTGGTTTACATCACGACAAATATATTTTAACCACCTCCCCATGTAATGTTGTTTCAGATAATTATTTCATATTGTATTAAGAGACTGTATGTGTGTGTGTGTGTGTGTGTGTGTGTGTTCTGTTTCACCTTACAGTTCGTTCAAGTGCTGCCAGCATAATCTCCGGTTTTATCTCCGAATATCTGAGTAAAGTAAGATTTAATACGTTTCTAACTTGATTTAGCCACATATTTTGTCAAATACTGACACTGGTCCCCACTACAGCTTTTAACACTGTACTGGTTTGGTTAGTTGGAGTTCATTTTGGTTTACATCACAACAAATATATTTTAACCACCTCCCATGTAATGTTGTTTCAGATAATTATTTCATATTGTATTAAGAGACTGTATGTGTGTGTGTGTGTGTGTGTGGTGTGTGTGTGTGTATGTGTGTTCTGTTTCACCTTACAGTTCGTTCAAGTGCTGCCAGCATAATCTTCTGTTTCATCTCCGAATATCTGAGTAAAGTAAGATTTAATACGTTTCTAACTTGGTTTAGCCACATATTTTGTCAAATACTGACACTGGTCCCCACTACAGCTTTTAACACTGTACTGGTTTGGTTAGTTGGAGTTCATTTTGGTTTACGTCACAACAAATATATTTTAACCACCTCCCCATGTAATGTTGTTTCAGATAATTATTTCATATTGTATTAAGAGACTGTATGTGTGTGTGTGTGTGTGTGTATGTGTGTTCTGTTTCACCTTACAGTTCGTTCAAGTGCTGCCAGCATAATCTCCGGTTTTATCTCCGAATATCTGAGTAAAGTAAGATTTAATACGTTTCTAACTTGATTTAGCCACATATTTTGTCAAATACTGACACTGGTCCCCACTACAGCTTTTAACACTGTACTGGTTTGGTTAGTTGGAGTTCATTTTGGTTTACATCACAACAAATATATTTTAACCACCTCCCCATGTAATGTTGTTTCAGATAATTATTTCATATTGTATTAAGAGACTGTATGTGTGTGTGTGTGTGTGTGTGTGTGTGTGTGTGTATGTGTGTTCTGTTTCACCTTACAGTTCGTTCAAGTGCTGCCAGCATAATCTTCTGTTTCATCTCCGAATATCTGAGTAAAGTAAGATTTAATACGTTTCTAACTTGGTTTAGCCACATATTTTGTCAAATACTGACACTGGTCCCCACTACAGCTTTTAACACTGTACTGGTTTGGTTAGTTGGAGTTCATTTTGGTTTACGTCACAACAAATATATTTTAACCACCTCCCCATGTAATGTTGTTTCAGATAATTATTTCATATTGTATTAAGAGACTGTATGTGTGTGTGTGTGTGTGTGTATGTGTGTTCTGTTTCACCTTACAGTTCGTTCAAGTGCTGCCAGCATAATCTCCGGTTTTATCTCCGAATATCTGAGTAAAGTAAGATTTAATACGTTTCTAACTTGATTTAGCCACATATTTTGTCAAATACTGACACTGGTCCCCACTACAGCTTTTAACACTGTACTGGTTTGGTTAGTTGGAGTTCATTTTGGTTTACATCACGACAAATATATTTTAACCACCTCCCCATGTAATGTTGTTTCAGATAATTATTTCATATTGTATTAAGAGACTGTATGTGTGTGTGTGTGTGTGTGTATGTGTGTTCTGTTTCACCTTACAGTTCGTTCAAGTGCTGCCAGCATAATCTCCGGTTTTATCTCCGAATATCTGAGTAAAGTAAGATTTAATACGTTTCTAACTTGATTTAGCCACATATTATGTCAAATATTGACACTGGTCCCCACTACAGCTTTTAACACTATACTGGTTTGGTAACTTATTGTCGAGCTCTGCTGTATAATTATTTTTGATAAAACTCTACAAACTTTGTTCTTTTCCACAACTCACTGTAGCAAATCTGTATTTTTTGTTTCTGTAATGTTTCTTTTAGACAAAATGAATAGAACAACTTTACCTGTCTCCAGCTCCACCTTAAGAAGGAGGACCCATGTAGACGTAGATAAACGACTTAGACAAATTAGGGGTGACTGCACGAATTTGACTGACTTTCAAACAACAACGGATAGGGAATGTGTATATGTCGATAGCGTGTTTTTTGAAGACAGTACAGACAATCCAACTGAAACTGGACTAGTCTTTAGTGAGGAGGAAGGTGGCATGGAGGTAGATGAAGATGTACAGGAGGGTTTCGTGGTTGGCAGCTTTGATGGGCCTATTCAGACATCTGATTCAGAACATTCAGATAATGAACCGTCTGAGACATTTTCACTCTCTGACAGCATTTCCAACTGGGCCATACACTTTGGAATTTCTTTGGTTGCTTTGACAGCACTGTTGTGCATTCTTCGCATTTGCCATCCTTATCTTCCAAAGGATGCTAGAACCCTCCTTAGGACTAAGACAAAGTACTCTATCATAGAAAGAGCTGGGGGACAGTACCACTATTTTGGTATTCTGACATCACTTAGAAGTACGCTGTCTAAATACATACACACACTTGCAGACAATTTATGTTTGAAGTTACAAATTAACATTGATGGACTTCCTTTGTTCAAGAGCTCTAGTCTGCAACTGTGGCCCATTCTTGGACTACTACTGAGTGTTCCTATGAAAGAACCAGTAGTGATAGGTTTATTCTGTGGATCAAAGAAACCAAGCTCAGCAGCAGAGTTTCTTGAAGATTTTGTAACTGAGTTACAACAGCTTGAAAAAGGCTTTGACATAGAGGGTAAGACATTGAAGCTTGAGCTGGACACAGTCATTTGTGACACACCAGCCAGGTCCTTTGTTAAAAACACAAAGAACCATAATGGTTACCATGGTTGTGACAAATGTTCTCAGCCTGGTAAATACATTAACAGACGCATGACATTCCCATGTACAGACTATGCTCTAAGGACAGATGCTACATTTGAAAGAATTGTTGATGAGGTTCATCATCATGAGGGGCCACATCCATTTTATGGCAGTAGTGTTGGCATGGTTTCACAATTCCCTCTCGATTATATGCATTTGGTTTGTTTGGGTGTGGTAAAGCGTTTGTTGAAAATTTGGCTCCGGGGTCCTCTGAATTTCAGAATACCTGCAAACATAATTGAAATAATGTCCGCTAAACTGGTAGAAATGCGTCCCTATATTCCTGTGGAGTTTGCTCGAAAGCCCAGATCACTGAGGGAATTAGATCGCTGGAAGGCCACTGAATTGAGGCAGTTTCTGCTGTACACAGGACCTGTAGTATTAAGTACCTTTCTGGACCGAAATATGTACAACAATTTCATGCTACTCTTCTCTGGTATTGCTATTTTAGTCAGTCCTAGACTATCCTACCACACACAGTATGCTCGCACCTTGCTTAGATCTTTTGTTTTACACTTTGGGGAAATATATGGCAAAGATCAACTTGTGTATAATGTACATGCTTTGGTCCATCTAGCAGATGAAGTACAACAACATGGTTGTCTTGACTCATTTTCTGCATTTCCCTATGAAAGTTACCTACACAAACTAAAAAGGCTTGTCAGAAAACCAGACTTTCCTCTTGCCCAAATTATTCGTCGATTGTCTGAGATGAGAATTACTGACACTCCTTTAAATGGTGCCTCTCTTAAAAAACAGCACTTTGTTGGGCCACTTGTAGATGGATTGTCAGTGAAAGCACAGTATGGTGAGATGGCCTGTGACAAGTGGACTGTTAAAGTTTCAACCGGGAATAATGTCTTTGTCATCGGAAAAGAGATTTGCATGATACATAACATTGTGGAATGCAGTGATGGAGTCTACGTAGTGTACAAAGAATTTTCAGAGAAGTCTTTGTTCTTCACTTACCCATTCAATTCTGACTATCTGAATGTCCATACTATGTCAGAAACATTGGATATATTCAAGTGTGTTAAAGCTTCAGAGCTTGTCCAAAAATGTGTCGTTTTACCTCATAGGGATGGTTTTGTGGCCATACCCTTATTTCATACATTTTAGGAATATCTCCACAGGTAAAAGGTTTAGTTCACCCAAGAATTACTAATATTTTAAGATCATTTACTCACTCTCATTTTTAATTATTGGGTGAACTAAAACTAAAGTTCTTGTGTTCTGATATTAGCTGTAAGAATTTTGATGACGGGTGTTTATATAGAATTAGGACCAGATACATTGACATTGACATTACCATGCATCATCACAAACACTGCAGTCTGAAGCTGGATAATAATTAACTGTAAGTACTTTACTGTAAGTTGCTTGTTCAATGTGTTCTAAGTCATGTTTGTTTATATAGCATTATATACAATACAATATATATTGTTTCAAAGCAACTTCACAGTAAGTTGACAGTTCATTGTTGATTCAATTGAGTTCAATGAGGCCACGTTTACACTGCAGGTCTTGATGCCCAATTCTGATTTTTTGAACATATCTTATTTTTTATTTTTTTTGGACCAGCTCTTTTTTATTTAAAAGTGACCCATATGCAATTACACCATGCACTGTGTGAAATAACCAAGAAGGTAGATGTACTGACCTGTTCTTGAAATGGGAAGTTAAATTTCTCTGGTGCTGTTTGTTACTTCTCGTTTTAGGATGTTTCACTTAATTGAGTTCCTGCTAAACAAAACCGTAGCAGTGGTGCCACAAAATTGGTACAGTGATGGAGTTACCTACTGGCCAAACTACAAAAATGATGAGAGAGTGAACAGAGCAGTGAAAAATTCTGAGGAACCTGGACCTGACTGGAGAAAATATGATGCCAGAGTTATTAAATCCTGTGGTATTTTCATTTTAAATAACCTAAATGGCTGTTGTAAGCAAATATCAAAGTATTTTGGCAATATGTTATGTGGGAAGAACCCTTTTAATTACATTGTCTCATTGTTCTGTTGTCTATAGTTCTGTTCTTTTTTTACTCTATTAATTTGAAGGTCTACTTAAGTTTAACATGTAGACTATTTAATTTTTAGGTACCTACTTTGTGGCACGACAAGTTTTGAAGAAAGCTCTAAAGTGCAACACATCAGATCTACAGTCTGAAGAGGAAGAGGAGGAGATTCGGCCAAAAAGAAGGCCAAAGCCGATGTTAGTATAAGTTATCCTTTATATTTTACATTATCTTTTTTGCCTCTATATATTCTCAAAAACATAATTTAGTGTTATGATATGATGAACCCGACAACCACCACACGTAAAGCCAGCTGAAATAGAGTTAAATGGACAATATGTTTTCTGGTTTCTCAGAGAAACCATTCTCAACCAATTTCACTGATTTACAACTTAAGTTCTTAGGCCAGTGAAAATGTTTATGAAAGATGTTTTTGTCCAAAGCAACTTACATTGCATTTGAAGGTATCCATTTACATTTACATCAGTTCTTGCTTTCCCTGCGAATCAAACCCATGACCTTAGCATTGCAAGCGCCAATACTCTACTGTTTGAGCATCAGGAAGGCTTTAGATTTTTTATTATTATTAATAATTAATAAGATGTTTACTGCTTGTTTTTTTTCCACCCTAATTTATAGTCATTTCTTCGGAGACTCTGATGAGAGCGAGGAGGAAGATGCTCATAAAAAGAGAGGCAAACTTTTAACACAACCATCAGCTCCAGTTATCGCACCACCACCTTTTATCCTGAGTAGCGGCACAGCTGCTCCACCTCCACCCATTTCTCAACCTCCACCCATTTCTCAACCTCCACCCATTTCTCAACCTCCACCCATTTCGCCACCTCCACCCATTTCACCGCCTCACTGTTCACAGAGACCAGCAGAAGAGCAAACCCCTTCTGCAAGCAGGGTCTACAGACCTACCTGGCGGGGGGGAAGATGTGGATCAGACAGCATTGCCTGCTCTGGTGAGCAATATGTCATTAGATACAAGACTCAAATAGTTTATTTTGTCACCTTTTTTATTTTTATGCATACTTAGTCCTGTGTCAAATTTACTATTTAACTTTTATCATATTTACTCAAACTTATCCTGTTTTTGTTTAGTTCTTTTTTTAGTCAACTAAACTTATGGGCATTTTAATCTAGTTTTTATTTAATGAAAACTTACATTTTTTGGCATGCTGTATAATGGTTAAAATGATAATCACTTAATCAATCATTTAGTTGAGCTTCTGTTTGTGTTCTCTGATCAATACTTATATGTGATTAGAATCCTAAATTAAATTCTATAAAGCCACACTGTGGAACTTTTGGCCACTAGTGGCACTCAACCAGTAACTTTCACGTCTAGCTTCCCTAGAGGCCACAAGCTCCGCAGCACTGTCACAAATTAAAGTCAACAAACAGTCAACCGGTCAGCCTCCCGCGTCTTTAGATTGTGTGTGCTTGCAGTGTTTGGAAGGGCCGGGCAGCCTTGCCGCACTCGATTCCCTTATAGCAGTCTGCTGAGAGAGAGAGAGAGCGGGGTGAACCCGTGGGGCTTATGTCTGTGAGTGAATGTGGGCACGGAACGACGGGCACATTCACTGCACTGAAAACACCGTCGGTCTGAGCTGACTGTATATGTGTGTTGGTTTATTTTTACAGAAACCGTGGGACATGTGGTGTGTAGTGTTTGTGGGTACTACTGAGTTGTGGGCACGTTCACTACATTTAATGTAACGTTACATTTAACATGAGCCGATTTTATTAGTGCGAGCCCTGCACTGAGGCAGGCTGTGTTTGTGTGTAGAATTAACACTGGGCTGTGGGCATTTTATTACACTCATAACACCATCGGTTGTGGCCGGAATACTAGAAAATACTACACTGCTTATATTAATTTATCTGGGTTACCTTGGAAACGGCATTTGTGTTCAGACAAGCGTTCGCATCGGTCGAGCACTCTTCCTCTTTTAGCTCACGCCAGACCCTTTTCTTTTTTAGCTTCCTCTGATAAAACCGTTGCCTTCTTCCTTGTAGCTGTTGTCTGGCCATGACGAAAACATACAGATGGCAATCAAGCGCGAGTTGAGCACTAACGTTAGAATCTGAGGAAGTTTGGGGTGGTGGGGGAAGTGACGTATGCCGTAAAGCGGTCGAATTTTGTAGTTCTTTTTGTGCTCGGGTTCCTACCCAAAACCCAAAGTTACAAAGTGCTAGTAAAAGCGATACAGACACCTTCAGGCTATGGCAGACGTGTCATTCAATCTATTTTAAGTCAATGTACCATCTCAATGGGTTTTGGTAATATATTATAAAGGTTGAAGAGTTCCACAGTGTGGGTTTAAGGAATCTATATAAAAAAATACACTATATATTTCTCATCTGTTCAGTGAATTGGGCCTTAATGAGTTGACTGATGCAGAATTAATTTTATTTATATATTACAAACTTTTTTCTTTCTTTTTTTACAGCTGCAGAAGTCCACATATTAAGCCTGCTGGAACTAATAAAGCATCAACAAGAGCAACTTATAACTAAAGTAAATTACTTGACGAGCAAGTTGAATCCAGCAGGCCAAGACATGGAAATGCTTGAAAACCCAGTTGTGTTTCCATTAACATCCATGCCAGAGGTTGAGCATTTTGAGGAATGGCTCAAAAATCCTGCAAATAACCAACTGAAGTTTAGTGTGGTAAGTTGTTTTTCCCAATCTCACTAAGATAAGTTTACATTACATAGTGTTTTACTGTTAAAGTATGTTGATATTTCCTAATTTTGTTCAGAGTTGATTATTATTTTATTTGGGAGAAAATTACTTTATTTATCATGCATGTACAACTTTGTAGAACATTTACATTTCAAATTTTTGTATTTTACACATTGCATGAAAGGAAACATTTAAAAGCCGTATTAGGGGCACTTTAAAATGACCTTGGGATGTTAATGACCTTGGGATTTTGTTATAGTTAATTATTTTGAACGTTTTAAGCAAAATATTTTTATCAGACATTTTATAATCTTTTTGAATGGTCTTCCAGCCAATCAGAAAGTCTTATTCTTGTGCCCATAATAAATAACAGATTTTTGTCACATTTTAGATTTCCTCCCTGGCAACTATTGGGGGCCATGACACGAAACGTGTCACATGGAACATCCTTTCCCGCATGTTCCATGACGATGTTGCGAGGAGAATCAACTGGAAGGGCATGAATGGGAAAAAATCTTTCAACCAGATGGAGTCAAAGAAGTTACTCCTGTGTAAGTAAATGTATAAACAGGGTACCTGCGGATCTTAAAAGCCTTGAATTTGGTATACAAAGTCTTAGATTTCGTTACAAAGGTCTTAAATATTATTAAGTGACCTAAATATATCAGATGTCAGTACACTTTTGTTTTAAAGCAACACCAAGGAACTAAATAATTTAGCCTACCACAGCTACTTGCATGCATGCTCGCTGTTTATCCAGCACCTGCTTTGGAATGAACGTTGTCTACAGACAAGGTATAATATGTTGCTAAAAACTAAATAATGACTATTGTAACGCTTGATGTAAAGCAAGTCAAATTTGTAGTTTTCTTTTGTCTCATTAACTACAGAAACGCGCCCGATCCCCTAATCTTACATAGCGTGGTTATAGCAGGTATAGGACCGCAAAGCGGAGGCAGAAGTGCCTTTCACCCTGTTACGACTTGAACACTGAAATGATTTTGGAAACTTATATATTAACTTGTATACTCATTAACTTATTAACTTATATAAGTTAAAAAAAGGATTGTCTATCCTCTAAAAAAAAACAACCTCATAGCTTCAATGTGATTTCATGACATTTAATGGAAATCTGCTTGTGTATTACAGGTGCTGTGAGAAAGAGCCATGTCTCCCGTGCCGCCACCGATGACGACATTACAAAACATGTAATCCGTTGGTTCAACCTGGCATCAGATAGGGGAAGCTCAAGGAGCCGTCCCCCCTGTCAGCAAACCTTGACCGAACAGTAGTGAATACTTTATCATTTTAGTGTAATGTTTTTCACTAAATAAAATGATGTTCTTGGTACAATTCATGGTTGATTTCATTTTTTCTGTAATGTCTATTCAATGTGTACATGATAAAAACTATTTTTTTTAAAAATAGTAAATAGATTTATAGTCTGTAATAGCCTATTTTTTTATTGTTACTTGCTAAAATTATTGTTTAATGATTTCGTGTTTTTTTTTTTTTCATATTAATAAAGGCAGCTACACTATTCAAGCTTTTATAGAGCAATCCAGTCTATCTAATTTTATCTAAACCACCATTAGATTTTAAATATATCTAGTTTTGGCCAGTAATCTGAAAGGTTTCCTGACTGAAATGAACGGATCCGGATCGGATCCGCAGCGGACACGCTGCTTCATAAACGGGTCCAGATCGGATCCGCGGCGGATAAGCTGCTTTATCAGCGGATACGGGTCGGGTCTGCCGCGGATCTGGTCTGGATCCGCAATCCTTATCTGTTCCGGATCCGTTGCGCTGTGCAAGTGGACTCCATTTCCGAACCCTTACACCCACAGTGTGGCTATATAAACACTGAGGTCTAGGCCATGCTCTCTCTTTCACCTCTCACTAGAGGACTTCAAAGTCACTCCAGCACACCGGTTTCTGATGAATGCTTCCATCTGCCCGCCCGACGTATGTCTCCATCTACATTCGGCTCCATTCCACTCTGGAAAAAAGCCCCAACCTTTCCACAACCTCCTCTGAGTGTGGCCATTTGTTAGCACTTAGCGTTAGTCTGCGTCTGGGAGACCCAGCTCTAATTTGGTACACTGGTCCATCAATCCTTTTAATACAATGCTTCAGCGAAGTCGCTCAGGCTATGTAACTAATGCTGGCTATTACTATCCTTATTAAAAGTGTAATGTTGTATTAAGTAGACCAATAAAAGTGGCTTGTTTGGTGCAGCGATTCTATTCAAATGGAGCATGAATTTATACAAAATGTATTTATGTGCCAAAATAATCCCTGTTTTAGTATCGGGGAGCCTGGATAATTGTAATACATGTAGTTCTTGGTTTTTGCTAAATTATTCTGGAAATGTGTAACCTTTGGCTAAACCTTTGACATTTTGCCTAAATATCTTTGACCAGACTGATCTCATGAAGTAGCGTGTGTATGACACGCCAATTCGTATTTCCATTTTTGGCGTGCTATCAAGACGCAGAATCGCCTTTCAGCGTGTTTATGAACGCCGTTGACTTAACGTTATATAAATATATGACTTACCTCAACCCCGTCCCTAAACCTAACCATCACTGGGGTTAATGGCATTTATGACTGTTCCCTTACCATCCTAGGACAGAAAAAGGTATGACTTACCTCAACCCCATCCCTAAACTTAACCGTCACTGGGGTTAATGGCATTTATGACTGGGGATTTGACTGCGTGTTCGGACACGCGGAATGACGCGGACGTTAATGGCGTAGACATATACGCATACACGCGGATACACGCGGATAGCTCAAAATGCGTAGAGATAACACGCCACCTGGCGCGAAAGTGGCGTATATGTTTACGCAAAAGTCATGATGTCATGTTGCTTTGACATATAGTGTAGTCATTACCCATTTCAATTAAATGTATAACTCAATCAATTTGGATTAAACTAAAAGTACAAACATAACTCTCTCTTTTGAGTATATTTCATTGTGTGCTTTCTTATATTTTAAACACTTTACAAACCATCAGATTTTAAAGTAAGGCTTCAGTACATTTAAAAAAAAAATTGAAATGAAAAAAAAAAAAAAAACAACGCTAGAAGGATAAATACGTCAGTTATAGAATTTAGTTTAAAGATTTAAAAAAAATGTTGACAGGGATAACTGATGAAAATGATGGATTTTTTTTTTTTTAATCTGGTATCGCTTTATTTTTGATGGACCCTTTTGAGTATTCTGTTGACTATTAGTAACTTTGCAACTACAAGTCAACTAACTCTCATTAGAGTATTAGTAGACTGTCTGCTTAATATCTACCAACTCTTTATTGTGATGCTCCCCCAACAGACAGTCTACTGACTACAAGTAACTATGCAAGTGTGTCAAATTATTCTAACCCTTTCAGTCTACTAATACTCTTCTAACACTTTAATGAGAGTTAGGTGAAGGTGCAATGTTACTTATAGTCAACAGAATGTGTTGAAGGGACCATCAAAATAAAGTGAAACCAAGCATATATGTTTATGATACTGTAAATGTGTATCAGAGGTAGACAACTGAATATGCATGTCTGCTGCATATCACAGATGTTTTCAGAGTACCTGTTACAATTGCTCCGTATGATAAATGATGTTGGGAATACATTTATTAGAGTCACTAGGACACAATATTATGCATACATAAATATACTGCAATCAGTAAAATATGACCAAACATTCAATTTTCATTACATAACCTAACATTTCTGCTCTCATATTGTGACTTACACCAGCAATTGCAATGATGTCCCATCACAAATTTGTCTATACACAGATGCACACTGATCATACAGCTTCCTCAGCAGTCGTCATCGGTTAACGGAAAGAACAACACACAAGGGCAAGTCTAATCATCATCTGCTACCGACCAGAAGGGTAGAATGGCAAGAAGATAAAATGAGAGAGAGAGAGAGAGAGAGAGAGAGAGAGAGAGAGAGAGAGAGAGAGAGAGAGAGAGAAGAGAGAGAGACATAAAAAAAGAGATGATAGTCACTGAAGCAGGACACATATAGAAATTAATTCCCTCCTTTCAGAACAAAATAATATGTCTAACTCTGACAAGCAGGTATGAGGAGAGACTATTACGGTCATTTGAGACGGCACTTAAGGACACAAAAAAAAAATGAAATGAAAAACAATGAAGAAGTGAAGTGAAAAGAATAAGATGAAAGAAACAATGAAGAAGTGAAAGTGAAAAGAATAAGATGGGCAGTAGAGAAGCAAAGAAAAAAGGGACAGTGAGGCAAGACAAAGAGTGCTTGGTTATATGGGGACAGCAGGTGGAAATGAGTTAAAGGCATAGTTATTTACTTCCATGTCATTCCATACCAGTTTTTCTTTCTTTCTTCTGTGGAACACAAATGAAGATATTTTGAAGAATGTACTGGTTGATCAATGTTTATTTTTTTTTTCTTATTGTTACTTGATAATTTCGTGAAAATCGTGATACATTATATTCTTTGATGAATAGAAAGACATCATAGACATAAATATCACATGTCCACTAAAATCCAAAAAATACAAGTAATGATCCTGTTAAAATGCACCTTGTCTCTGCCACATTTATTCAGCCCTCTTTACCCCCTATACAGTCAGTCATAATTAACTCTGTCATCATGGCTGGTAGCCTAGCAGGCCATTACTTGGCGGTGTAGTTGCATGTCCCCGCCTTTTGCTCTAATGCTTTATCAGGCTGAGGTACATCACCTCAGGATTGCTTTGTCAATAAGCTGACCGGGCCTGACCTGGCTTGGGCATCTCTAAACAGACAGCCTGAGTGACAGGTCGAAGATGGCTGATAATTCACAGAAATTGGAAGTGTGAAATCTTTAAGGGCCACTTCTCACGGCTGCCAAATGCCAGGGTATCTCTCCATCAGTGTACTGTTCTCACAATCCCAGGCATTGTTAATGGTGGCCTGTCTGTCCATCAAGACCCTGCTTCTGCTGGGATTTATCCCCTGTTTGCTTCCTTATCTCAGCTGGCTGGTTGCACTTTCCTGGCCTAACTGGGATGTTGTGTACTTGTTTGCGTGTGCGTGTGTGTGTGTGTGTGTGTGTGTGTGTGCTGAAAGGAAATAAGCTACAGCACATGTGTGACCTCACCTTCTTTTTCTCACTTTCCTACCTCGTCGAGGTAGAGTACTCCTACTAAGAAAGAACATCTTCTTTCTTAAAGGGATAACTCACCCAAAGAGAAAACTTACTGTATATCATAATTCACTCACCCTTGTGTCATTTTAAAGGGGTCATGAACTGGCTTTTTAAATTTTATTATATTGTTGTCTGAGGTCAACTTATGACGTTCGCTTGGTTTTTGCATTCAAAAACATCAAAATGAATAAGTAATAGGCTATTTTGTACCCAAGTTGCACTGAAGACTTGGAAGTAAACGCCCACTGCTGCGAGTGGAGAACAGTTTTGCATATTATAATGAGTTTAACTCACCCGTCGGTGCACGTGGGGAAAACGTCCAATGTTGTAAAATGGCAAACGGATTCACCCCATACATGTTCGACCCAGAGTCTGTGTGTTGCACAATTCCTGTCAGATCCAAAATAGATGGCACAGCACAGTTCTTTAATCTTAATCGGTCTGCAAATCCAGTCTTGTTTGCAAAACAATCCTCAGTGAAATGAAGCAAACAGACGACGATGTTTTACCCTCATCAGCTGGAACGTCATTAAAAATAAAGTTTATTCATGCAGTCCTATTGGAATCCAGAGAAAGCTTATGCAGCGACTGTCTTTTTCCACAATCAGGCGCTGCACAATATTCTGTATTGCTCGGTACTCGGTAGCTGGATCCGCTTTGTCATCACGAGGTAGGCCTATGTTATCTAGCTATGCTATGCGTGTAATGCGTGAATTGGTGGGCGGGGGTAAACTGTCGGTGATGAAGTAGAAGTTGATCTTCTTCTGCGGGGGTGGTGTTTTATCCTCTTTGACGTCATAGTTCCCCACTTTTAAACACAAGTCGTTTGCAGAGGCTAGTGTCAATAAAACATTTTATTGGACTAACAAGGATGTTTTCAGTTCTGAAACTTACAAGATATTATTATAATGTTGACCTCTTAGATGTCAAAAGCTCAAGGAAAATTTGATTTCTCAGTTCGTCACCCCTTTAAATGTATATGAGAAGATATTTTGAAGAATATTTCTGTTTTTGTCTATACAATTAAAAGCAATAAGAAAAAAAAAAGATTTAATTAGTTAATAGTTTATTTTTATAGTGGCTAAAACTATAAATAAAATGAAAATGAAA